CACGTTCTTTTCAGTACTTCCCATATCTTCTATGTTTTCTAATGCTGAAAATATAACAGAACAATAAAAAAATTAAAAATCCCTTTAATTTTATAATACAAATGAAACTCGATAAAGAAGTTGAAGGATAGTGATCAAACAACCATGCTGGAATAATCTACTTACAATTCGTTAGTAGATAATAATATCTTCCGATCACAGTAAACTATGTGCTTTGAGCGAAACTAAAGATGAACCTGGCCATAACCATAGCTAATTAAATATACTTTTCATACATCTTTATTTATAAAGCTTAGAATGCATTGTTTCATCAGTTGGATACCCTCGTTGTTAACGCTATTTTCGGCCCTCATTATATATATTGTGTGTGAAAGTTTACCAAGTATTTCTCGCCCTTTCGCCGGTCAATCCCACTATTCGTTGGTAAAAAGAGAAGCCCAAGAGCTGGCGGTGGGTGGTGATGACTAGCTGCCTTCCTTCTAGTCTTACACTACTAAATTAGGGACGGCTAGCGCAGATAGCCCTCATGTAGCTTTGCGCGAAATTAAAAAATTAAGTATCAGGCTGTTGAAGAATATATGTTCGATCATCACGAGTTAACTATGGTGAAACATATCAATCCAACGGTAAAATTGTTATTGGATAACCACTGCAAGCAACTGTAACTTAAACTTTTGGATAATATTAAGAAAAAAACATTTAAATAAGTATCTAAAATGGCGCAATGTTAGTGAAATTATTTACTTTTTCCCATCATACATAATACCAATTCAGTATATTGGGTTGACAATACTAGCGTCATCTCTAGTACATAAGAGTACAAAACCTCCAATTAAAATTAATTTATTATTTGGATCAGATTAAATTATACAAAAACATGAATGGTTTGAATTTTTTAATTTCATTTTATAAACTTTTTAGAATAGCAGGAAGTAGATTTATGTTTATAAGGCTAATTGTGTTAAATAACTGAATCCATTTTTATACATGTACAAAATTTGCTACACTCCTCAAAAGGTAAAACCAAGTTAACATTTTACTACCAGAGGGTGTCTTCATTTTATAGTATTGTTTGTTTGTAATTAAGCACAAAGCTACACAATGGGCTATCTGTGCTCTGCCCACCACGGGTACCGAAACCCGGATTCTAGCATTGTAAGTCCACAAACATACCGCTGTGCCACTAGGGGGCCATTTAATAGTAAGAACAAAATTTAAATTTTTTAATGGAAAACATGATTTTTTGTCACTTAAAAGCCTAATAAGAAAATAAATAAATAGCTTAGTATCATATCGAATAAATTGGTGACGCTACCTGAAACTCGATCACTGTATATTTTTAGGTATGAAAATCGTGAAGGTGAAATCCGATGAGATAGTAAATGTCCGTAAAAAAAAAAATAGACCAATGATGCAGGAAGACATTTTTAAAAGAAGTATATCAACAATAATTTGAGTTGTTTGTTTTAGAACAAAGGCACATTGAGCTATATGCTGTGTCCACCGCGGAGAATCGAACCCAGAACCCCGTAAAATTACCGCTATCCACCAGGAGAAAACTTGAGTTATAAACATAGTTCGATTTACTGGATACCTTTTTACGGTGTATATATATTAGTAACAAGTGCCACAACTGTTGTGTTTTTCCGCTTAAGTGTATTTCTTTGTAAGAAGCAACACAAATGCTAATATGTTTCAATTATCTACAAAACAAATAGGCATAATTTTGTAACTTTAAAATCTAAGAAGGTTTACTGCGCTCAGGTAACTTCAGATAATTCGCTATATTACTCATGCTCTAATGCGACACCGAAAGAAAAAAAAATATATAATAAATGTAACCGAATGTAAATCACAATAATGAAATAGCGAAAACAAAAATATCAATTTAGTAAATGCTACATTAAATCTACCATTTTTGAGAGGACCATTCAGTAAGCTTTTTCTTTCAGTTATGTTCAGTTTACAAGGCAATATATGTCTAATATATGTTAATGTCTAACACTGTAAAATATACAGTTTCAAGATCATCCTATATACTAGGACTATTTCTTGACGCAATAAGTTTTATAAGAATATTGTATAGTATTTCTGAGCGAAGGTGATTGAAAAATATTATTATGTTTGAATGAGGGTGTATGATAGGCGAATCTCCTCTCCTACACTATATCATGGATATCCCAGTAGGTGTATGATAGGCGAATCTCCTCTCCTACACTATATCATGGATATCCCAGTAGGTGTATCATAGGCGAATCTCCTCTCCTACACTATATCATGGACATCCCAGCAGGTGTATGACAGGTGAATCTTCTCACTTACACTATATCATGGATATCCCAGTAGGTGTATGACAGGTGAATCTTCTCACCTACACTATATCATGGATATACCAGTAGGTGTGGATATTATTAAAAGAAAAACAAGTGTGATGCAATATATAGTCAGTTCAGAGTGAGAAACTGTATGCAGGATTGTGCATCTGAAAGTCTATGGTTCGCGTCCCAATGTCGCAAGATTGCGCTTTTTGAACTTTGGGATCGTGGGTACATTATAAGAGTGTTGGTCAAATCCAACTATTCGATTAGAGTAGCCCAAGAGTTGGCGGTGGGTGCTGTTAACCAGCTGCCTTTCCTCTAATCTATTAAGTGACACTCGAGGATAGTTAGCGCAGATAATCATTTGTGTAACTTTTCAATAATACCCGAAACGAAGAAGCTAAATTCTAAACAATCTAAAAATTACGAACAATATGCAAAAGTAAATTCCTAACGTACGAAAGTAATTATGATCCATTTAGGCACTGTTCCTTATCGTACAAGGCATATTACATCATAAAAACAATGGTATCAAATACTTAACTGTTATAAATATTGTACGATAGGGGAATTTCCTCTCCTACACTATATCACGGATATCCCAGTAGGTTTTTGATAGGCGAATCTCCTCTCCTACACTATATCATGGATATACCAGTAGGTTTACGATAGGCGAATCTCCTCTCCTACACTATATCATGAATATCCCAGTCGGTGTATGATAGATGAATCTTCTCTTCTACACTATATCATGGATATCCCAGTAGGTGTATGATAGGCGAATCTCCTCTCCTACACTATATCATGGATATCCCAGTAGGTGTATGAAAGATGAATCTTCTCTGCTACACTATATCATGGATATCCCAGTAGGTGTATCATAGGCGAATCTCCTCTCCTACACCATATCATGGATATCCCAGTAATTCTACCAAATTCGCTTCGTACTTACATCTGTAGGAGCATTATTTGAGTGACATCCAATCCTGCTATTCGGTTAAGAAAAGCCACTTCAGGCCTTCCCTTGGTCTGCAGTTTAAAATTATGAAGGGATCTCTACTCGAAATCTGCGGATCCAGGTTCGAATCGCATCACCAAATACGATCGCCTTTCAGCCACGGGGATGTTATAATGTGACGGTCAATCCCAATATTTGATGGGAGTAGCCCAAGAGTTGGCGGTGGATGGTGCTGACTAGCTTCTTTCCCTCTAGTCTATCACATCTAAATTAGAAACGATTTAACGACTAGCTTTGAGCGAAATTCAACAAACAAGTAAATCAAAATTAGGGAGTATTACGCTTGAACTACAGGATCTTTTGACCTGTTAGTTTAGTACATTATGTGGTTCAGCCGAACAAACAAAGAGACAGCGACCAGCTAATAGGTATCTTAGCTATAAACAAACACCAAACAGTAAAATTCATAATTATAAATTATTTTTTGGGTGAAAACTTCATTTTCACTGATATGTTTCGAATTGTTCCAGTGTGACAAAATTCATAATAAATATCAGTGGCGTCTCGAACTTGAAACCCTTGGATTCTCAATCCGATATGCTAACTACCAGGTCACGCTTGGGCAATTATCTGTCATATTATATATTCAAAAATGTCAGTTCAATCTAGCTCCCCAGTGGCACAGCGGTATGTCTGCGGACTTACAATGCTAGAATCCGAATTTCGATAGCCGTGGTGGGCAGAGCACAGATAACCCATTGTGTAGCTTTATGTTTAATTACAAACAAAACAAACAATTCAATCTAATACAACATAAAGTTTATTTCTACTTTAATGGAACAACAATATCATAAGGAAAAAGTTTCAACCCTTTCAAGTCAAAGAAAAAGAAGGAACTCTTGGGGGAGTGGTATTCCTCGAAATGTAGGCCAAGGAAACAGGAAAACTCCTTTATCCAGCCCAGCCAGTACCAAAAGCAGGAAGAGTGACGAAAATCAGCCCCCAGAACAGAAAAAACTCCCACCATTGTTTTCCAAGCTTTTTCCTAGAGGAAATAAAAAGAATGAAACGAAAACAGGGCCTACTAAAGCCACTAGACTGGAAGGAAGTACGTATTAATAAACTGATAAATTATGGATTTTTTCTTTTAATTTTCTCTAACTTTAACGCCAAGTCATGGAGCTATTGGTACAGAATATTCACCAAGGCTATAAGACTATTGTTTTTTAATCAACTAACAATTTTCTTATATTTAAAAATTGATCTTAATCCAAAGAGGTAGGTATGAATTTAATATTCCTTGCAGAAAACCGAGCAAAAAAAAGTGGATAATATCTTCGTTATGGAGATTTCAAACCTGAGGTATTGCTAAGTAAAATGACAATGTTCTAGTCATGGATTAACAAATAAACATGTTGTATCTTTTTACTAAAAAAATTCATCTAATCTGTAAAAAAATACGATAAGAAGTCAACTTTCACAATTAAGATTTACAGAAGCCAGATGCAACATATATAATAACTAAATTATGATACGAACTATTTGTTATGTTCAGTTTAAACTTGTCTTTTAATAAGGTATTGCGAAGTATTACTTATTAGAGAAGCTTGTCAACATAAATGAAATATATTATATTGAAGGTAGATGCACAAAACCGTGTAATGTAATCTAAAATATAGTTTTGATTCACTATTATGAAACAACAATCCAACAAAAGTTAGACTAAAGAGGACCAGACTCCAACAAGCTGTGACTCCATCTAAACGGAACAGTGGGAAAAGGTAAGGGTTGAGAGTAGTAGTATTATCTTTAAACATATAAAAAAGCAATAAAAAATTATTTTAAAAGTTTACACTATTACAGACTTATTAGACCACAAAACATTTTTTTTAATACTAATAACCTGTTAAAATTAAAACATATATTTCAGTTCATTCGGAGATTAATTTACATCATTTAGGCCATATAAGCACATTCGATTATCTATAACTGTAATTATCGTATTATAACCTACATTTTTTATGCACATTTAAGTTAAAAGTCTGGTGTTTTTAATAGCCTTACAGATCTTGCTGAAAACCAGGAGGACACATACTCAGCTACGTGTGGTGGTTTTCTTTCGCCATTGGAAGAGCCAGGTTTCTCAGCTTCTCTCTTCTCAAATTAATAAACACGTTTAAATAAATAATCAACATTACAAAATAATGAGTGAATATTTGATTGAATTGTTCCGAAGCTATTAATGTTGAAAACAAAAACTACTGATTTCGAAAATTTAAAATAATGAAAACCATTTTCACGACTTACTGTGTTTTTTCTCGACTATTTATCAAGCAGTGTATATTCAACAATGCAGAGTAGTGTAAATCATAAACCTGTTATACCAGAAAAAACGACGACAGAATTTTATAGGAATAGTCACAACGGTATCTATAATATTTAAAAGATACAATGTTATGACGTGCTTTAACTAACTTGTATGATTTTTACTTTAAAATATTAGATAAAATCAAGTTGGTTTAGCTTCACATGCTTTTACGTATTTTTTGTGCAGGATTACTCGCCATAGGATTCTATTTGCTATCTATCCTCAGATGTTTTGACTTGGACGAGATTAGCCTTCCGCAGGAAAATCATTGATCCATGTAATTAGAAAAGAGTCAAAAATGGCAACTAGTTACCACCAGAATAAATATTCTGTTAAATTTTATATCAATCAAAAATGTATAAACTTGTCATTTGTAAAACGCATGCAAATGCGATAACAAATATGATAAAATACAACTATGTAGCCATAAAAATTAAGCTAATGCAACATGTTAGCATCATGCAATACTTAACAAGTATCCGCTAATATGGTGTGGCGAATTTTGTGGGTTATTCATCTGTGAAATTACACCAATTCACATAAAAATTATCTACATATAAAATAAAAACTTCTGGTAAGCCAGTTCAACAAACGTATATAAAAAGATAAAAACTTTAGACTCTACTCACCTCCTTGCTAATATTGGCTAACGACTTCCACAATCCAGAGTTTCCAAAACTCATAGCAGAAGACATTGTTGAGTCAGATCGGGGATTTTGTCGGCACTCTTCATGTGTCGGAGATCGAACCAAACCTCTAACGACAAGAATGTTAGTTTACTATGATATAGAAACTACAACGAACTGATGTATAAATGAAATTTATTGATCGCTATATACCAAGAAAGTTACTTGAAACAAACCTATTCTATGACCAGGCAATAATCATCCGAGTATATATATGGACAGTTGATTTTAAGACAGAAAAATTGCAATAAATATCCGAAGACAATCCATTTCAAAACATTTAGTTGATTAGCTAATATTATGTTCTTTTAACGTGACAATAAAAATCCAACAGACTCACTGTTCCATATCAGCTAGCTTCTTCATGAGACGTTCATTCTCCTTACAAACTAACTCATGGTCGCGTATCAACAACTCTCGCATTTGATGAAGTTGAGCATTTTCTGCCCTGTAGAAAATAGTTATTTTACTATCAACTGTGGGATAATATCGTGGTCGCTGCTATTTGTGCCTGATTACTAGCCAGAATGTGTATTACAAGTAGAGTTTTATCACTTATAGTCATTATAAATGTTGTGTATACATCATTTGCAATATGTTGATAGAATATAATTTTTTTCTCACTAATTTATAACTTTGCAATAGCAGTAACTTATGGTATAAATTCTTATGGAGATTACACGTTTGCATTACGAATGCTCATTCTGAGATCAAAGACAACATTGATTAGCTAACAATCCAGTTCTTAGACATATCTATTCTTGTATCGATTGGATACTCTTATCGAATCTGTCAGTCAGTGAAAGAGTCATGTGATAAATCTGTCATCCAGTAAGACCTATATGAAGAGGTTTTCAACCACTAAAAGAGTCACGTGACGAATCTGTCAACCAATAAAAGAGTCATATGAAGAATCTGTCAGTCAGTGAAAGAATCATATAGAGAATATGTGAATCAGCGAAAAAGTGGGATGATGAACCTGTCAGCCAGTGAAACAGTCGTATGAAAAATCTTCCAGCCAATGAAAGAGTCGTATGAAAAATCTGCCAGCCAATGAAAAAGTCATATGATGAATCTGTCAGCCAACGAAAGATTCATGTAATGAATCTTTCAACCAATGAAAGAGACATATGAATAATCTGTTAGTCAGTGAAAGAGTCATGTAAAGAATCTATCAACCAGTGAGAGTCATGTGAGAAACCTACTAGTCAGTGAAAGAGTCATATGAGGAAGAGAAGAAGGATCTGGAATAAAGTGGTGTTTATGTAGTTGATTTTCAAATTCTTGAATCGCAACAACAAGAAAAATAAATGTAATATTATCGATTTGCAAAGAACATTTTATTTCAAGTAAACAAAGTTATCAAATTTTTTAAAGTTCTATTCATAATTTTTTTATTACTGAATCTAAGGCCTTTGAATGAACAATACATCATTGTCGTTCTCACATATGCGTATTGGTTTTTAATGTAACATTATAATCAAAGTTAGCCAAACTAAAACATGGATTTACCTGAGATTTTCATTTTCTTGCATGTAATTGTTAACCATGGTAGTTAGATCTTTTTCTAATTCTTTTTGATTTCCTGTATTACCATCTGGGAAGAAAATAATTATTGTTTCTTTCAGTAAAATACAGAAAAAGGTAATGCAGAAATATTTTAATGTCTACCTTAAAAACCAAACCAGGAAATAATATAAAAATATGGTTATCTTGTGTTACCTCGTGTTGTTTACATAGTGTATTAGATGATTTAGATAATTTATCAATAATCAAAGATGATTTTCTTATACATTATTAACGTTATTAGCAGGATATTATAAAGTGGCATCAACTATCGATATATTATATCTTTCTAGGATATAAAAAAGTATTCATTTATGTGTTTTTTTCGTATATTTCCTTATACTTAAGATAGCTTTCTTAAAATAAATAGACAAAAAAGAATTTAAAAAAGCAGAAGCTTATGACACATTTTGACCGACTTACCATCTGTTTTTGTTATCATAACATTAACTAGCCTGCGTCAGAAAAGAAACTATAAAATAGCGAAAAACGAATGCTATTTATTTTATTTTTACTTGTACAAAATGTCTTATGAAATATTAATAATATAAGTGAAAATAAAGTACCTTTTATCTTTTAGAATCGAGTTTACATCTAGAAGAAATAGAATTACAAGTACAAGATTTAGTCTTATAACAAGAAAGTTAAGCCTTACTTATAGAAGGCTTAAAGTTAAATCTACAACAGTACAAGAACCATCTTGGAAATGGAAATAATAATAATAGACAATCACAACTACAGATGAATGCATCAACTCTACGTCTAAAAGAGTTAGGCTACGTACAGATGAGTTGACTTCACATTTAGAAAACTATTTTAAAACCTACATGCATCGATTTAACATTTAAAACGATATATTTCAAACATACAAATACTGTTTCTTTAAAATCTAGATGAGTTGGCTTGAAAACTAAATCAGCTGAATTCACTTGTATCCACCTGACGATGAGAAACGTAGATTTTAAAACTAAAATAATTTTTTATCATAAAGTTATTACTTCTTTTATCTGTAGAAAATTTAATTAAAATCGACTGAAGCTTTAACATTGAAAAATGATCTTAGAAGTAAAAAAACTTACCTTCAACTGTGATTTCTCGTCCTCCTTGGTTCATAATAACATTTATCCCGTTCACCAAATTTGTCTGTAAAAATGTATATAACTAAATATTATATTGTTATTAGTTTAGAACAATAACATTATTTAATCTTATTGTTGAAGCTCTAAATCAGATTTACGTATTGAATATTTTTTTTATAATGCAGGAATTGATGTCGACAGACACCTGACAACTAAATAAGCGTAAGTAATAAATGTAAGTGGCTGTTTCATTGTTTTTGTTCTATAACATTTGTGTGATATTAATAATTAAAAACACTATGTTCAGGCATTGCTCCTTCAAATTAGTCTGAGATTTTAATAATTAAGATATAATAATTTCCATTTAGTTACATTTGAATCTTAATACTAATTGCTAAGATTTTCTGAGGGTCTGGTACGTAATAACAAGGATATTGGCTTCTAGAAAATGTACAACTGTTTTGTTTTTTTTCATAACATAATGCGTATTGAATCATCTGTGGCAAAGCTGCAGATCCCTAAGTTATTTCCAATATCAGGGATTAATCGCAATAATTCTACTGCTCCGTTTAGAAAAAATACATATTCCAGTTTTTTCAGTAAATAATTATTAAAGCCCATATTTGAATAAAAAGGAACAAAGATATACCTAAAACCCTCTTCACCCACATCATTGAACTGGAATCAGTTTATCTAACAAAAGTATCCAGAAATATTTCAACTTAATCTATAACTACTGAGTATAACTTGTTTAATCTAAACGAAACAAAACTTAACACCATAGATTTTTACTCCTGCAAAGTTTGAGTTTATGATAAAATTCTTAAATTGATGTGAATTTTAGAAGATATTACTATCACTAATCTTTGCAAGCCCTCTTAGTTTTACCTTTCAAATTTTTCACTGCCATGAGCACGTACAAGTTCCCCTCTAAAACACTGCCATGGGCACCACATGACCCCATCTAGAACAATGCCATGGGCATTTATATGTTCTCCTCTAGAACACTGCAATGGAAGTTTTGAATTTTGAGTCATCATGAAGAAGGGACTCAAATTCCCATTCACAATTCTCAGAGTTTCAGATTTCAGATAAGTAATGAATTATTATAACATGTATCTTAGTGTTTTTATAGTGTATCTAAAAATAAACGCGGTATTCTGAGAGCTGGTGACCTATAAAAATGGGATTGAAAGATTAAAAGAAAGTGTTTTATGTGTTATATATCGACTACATTTATTATACTGATTTACTGCAGTAAGTTCTCATAATCGTACATTTATTACTGACTAAATACCAACAATTTCAATGAGTACAAAATTACCTGTTGTCTTAAGTAAGTATTTTCCATTCTTAGAAGTTTCACTTCTCTTTTCAGACTCATGATCAATTGTTCTCTGGGATCCTGATAGACAAAGTATGGATCATAATAGAATATGTTAATTATGAGTTATATAATTTGATTATTAGTTGTTCTTATGATCAAAAAACTTTTGAAATCGTCCCAGTGTAACGTAAAATGTTTATTCATATCAAAATAAAGAGTCAGAGCTGTCATACACTGTTTATTTGTAATGAAATGCAGGGTTAAATCTATCGTAAACTGTTTACTTTTAATAAAACGTGAAATGAAATTTGTCATAAATTATTAATTCGTGACAAAAAGTCTTTATAGCTCATTACATATGCAGAATAGAATATTTAGTTTGAAATATGAATATCTGAATATCCACTTTTATGTAGTGTAATACAAGTTATGGGTTTTTAAAAACAAATGTCTAATATGTTTCAGATATATCATACCATAGTAAGTGAATTTTAAAACATAACAATGCTTTTCTAATTTTTTCAATTACATATTTCAATACAACTGCTTACTTACCATCCTCACAATGGGTTTGGTTTTGATTCGCTTAGCTCGGGAAGCATATCGAAGGGTGCTGATGGTTTCTGGTGCATTAGTTCTACTGGGAGAAACACAAGCGATCTACAGAACACGAAGAGCTGTGTTAAGTTGCTATCAGAAATATGCATTAACAGAAAATGATAAATAAACTTATAAGCTGGTACTGAGAGGAATAGATTAGAAATACAATTGATTGATTAGTGTTTTACTCATATCAAACCAGTCTAAAAAATGGTAAAAGAAGAAGAAAACATACCATAAGGGCCATTCCTCCACCGCCAAGACTTTCCGCCAAAAGTTTGGTTAAACAGCTGTCTCTGTACGGTATGTGTCCACTTCTTTTTCTTGGATCAGCCAAAGCCGATATACAATTCCCTAAAACAATTAAACGTTTTCAAATGAGAGAATATTAGCTGACATACAGAATAATCTTGACTTTTAAAAACATTCTCGCAAGCTATAAGATGTTTTACTATACTGACTGTTATGTTGGTATCCTAGAAGGTTTTTTTGATAAGCCAAAACTAGTAAAATTTTGTCAATTTTATTGTCCTCTAAATATCATATAGATAGTTGCTTACCAAGAACTAACAGAGATTTATTGATGTTGTTGGCCTCCACCAAAGTTTCTCCTTTACTGTTGGTTTTCTTGGTTTTTTCAGAGCCTGCGAGGTCTACAAGAGACAACTTGCCTTGTCTACGGATGAAGGTGTGTGGATCATCAAGGTCTCGAGTCTCTGCTGTTAGTGTCAGCACTAGAAGAGTGTGGCTCCGGCTGGAATGCTCGTTCATGTTGTGACTTCGTACTTGTCGGTTTTTCTTTCCTAAAGAAAACAAAAGTACGGATTATGGAGGGCATTAGGAAATATACAAGATCCTGAAATAATTTTAGTATAAAGGTCACTAAGCACACATAGTTGTTTCATGTACAAAATTCGTGAAATGTTACTCTCTCTCTTTTTTTTTTTTTTTTGCTATCGTTCAAAAGTTAAAATGGGTACCAAACAGTTAGAACAATGATTTTTGAGCCCCCCAGTAGCACAGCGGTATTGTCTGCGGACTTACAACGCTAGAAACGGGGTTTCGATACCCGTGGTGGGCAGAGCACAGATAGCCCTTGTGTAGCTTTGTGCATAATTAAAAACAAACAAACAAACAATGATTTTTGAAAGCAAAATCACACAGATGGAAAGCACCGGCTAGAATAACTTTGAAAATAATAGTTTTAATAGCTTGTTCCAAGTCAGTCTTTCAAACAACTATTTTAAAATAGAGTCAAAAGAAGTATATTGATAAAATATTTGTTAAGGAAACAGTTTGAAAATACTTGTCAAAATAAACTATTTTTCTACGAACTATTTCAAACAACACGGTTTAAAATTTATAAAAAAATGTTTTTGTGAAAACAATAAAATGTGTAATAAAAAGTTATTTAATTTATTTAAGTTCACTGGAGTTTGTTATAGGAAAGGCGTACTTTTAGTGTTCTGTAAATTAAATAAAATCGTAACACAGGAAAAACGTTTAGTTCTGTGAGACTTACATATATATAACAAAACAGCTACAATAAAATGATACAAATTTTAACAAATATCCAATACTTGTTAACAAGTTTAACGCAATGAAACGTAACCTATTAGCTCAATAATAAAACTTTCCTTAAGGTTACCGTGCTGGGCTGTGTATTGGAAGGTTCAAGTTTCGACCTGTAATGCTATTGAACACGCTACACAATTTGATCTGTGGACCCATTAGAAAAGTGCCAGTCAATCATGTTGTTTGGTTCAAAGTCAAAACCGTTTTGGCAGTGGGTGCTACTGACTGGCTGCCTTTTACCTTGGGCGTATCTCTTTTTTTGGTAATTATTCTGTATTAAGGTTGATTTTTGCAGGTTTTCTAGGTACATTAGCTACAAAATTTAGTGGCTTCATTATCTATTTCAGATTGTATGAATATATATATCAGTCATTCGAGCCCATGATTTCTAGAGTTCTTCAGTCTATTCAACCCTGTACATCTCTAGAAAATCCATACACACACACACTACCTTACACAACCCATTTATTTCTACTGAAATATATATATATAATCAGTTAAAACCACCTGAATTCTCCATTTATACCCCTATTTTTATGACTATGCAACCCAATCAGAACTACAAATCTTTCTACATATAAACGGTAAAAATAATTTAATAAGCACACAATAATATATATTAAAAAGTATAGGATGAATTCATCATTACTCAAAGAGGAAAATTCAAAAGCTGTCATAGGATCACAGGGAAAACAGCCTTAAAAGTACTGAAGATGAAAATAAGAAGCAACTTTATATAAGACTAGTGTAAAAGCCCGTTAAATATGATGAGAAACCACTGGAAAACAAATATATTCCGTATAAAACTGGCAAATACACAAAAGAAATATAAAATTTCCTTTCCCAGTAACATGCTACATATTGCTCTTCAATCCACTACATATAACTGATCAAACATTCTACATACTGGTACCTTTGTATAAAAGATTAAAACATACGATGACCATATGATTGCATACACACCTGTTCTTCTTTATGAGGAAAAGTCGTCCTCTTTCCTACAGATAATTGGTATCTTCAGTCTGTTTTAACAAGGCTTTTTTGTAATAATTCCCAAGCATAGATTTCCGCTAATTTTTGACTTATTTTTCACAGACGTCAATAGGGTGCCAATGCACTTCCGTGTCTTCGACCATGGAAGTCTTCCCGACTTTTCTATTTTGATCCTACCTAGCTTGACATCATAATGATGTGGATGATGTGATGCCACACACACACATAACGCCATGCCTGATCTGGTCCTGGGAACTCTCTCCTTGAGAGACTTTTATATAGCAGAAAAAGTGCCGAAATTTAGGAGCTATTTACGCTTATGTTCAAGATTAAATTCAACTAAATTGGAACGGGCAATCAAAAGAGAACGTATTATAGGAGAAAAACATGGAATTGGATTCGTGAACTCACAAAATTTGGAGAAATCGAGCGTGACCGACCGTCACTTGGCTTTTACATTTATTGATAACAGTCTTTTATAAACTGGTGAGAATCCAGCTTTATTTCGATCTAGAGGAATCAAATAATTCATATTACACACTAAGTACATTTCTGTTTCTAATTAAGATAGATATCTTACCCTCTTCTAAAACTCCTTGGAGGTCACCTTCATCTTCGCATTCTACAGCAAACAAGTTTTCTGCATAAAAACCTTTGTCTTTAGACCATCTCACAGGTAGATGTTTTGGAGAAGGATTCAGCAGATCTAAGACCTAGAGTTTTATTTAGTATTAATTGATTAATATCATGTCTGTTTAATCTAAAATTAACGTTTCAGGGCTTGTATATTAATATTAGATGGATTAAACTTACCGATTGAAAATTATTTCAACGATCCAAGTCTCGAAGATGCACACTAGCTTCTCAAAATATATTTTACTGGAAATAATAAACTCAACAGCATAAGATGCTACGATAAGTATTTAGCACGTATTCTTTTTTGCTGAAGTCAAATTATAAATCAAAAACGTGCAAGTGTATCAATAGATGGTTAGATTTGACATCTAGGATCTGGAGGATTCGAAATATCTGGTTAAAATGTGCTGTTTGTTTTTTCAGTGAATTCACAAATAAACTAAAATGTTTAATATTAGAAATATGTAAATCCTGTATTAAAGTTTAGACATAGGCCAGCCACCCGCACTATGATACCATTAGGAAAACTCTGTGTTAACAATATTCTTAATTTTTTTCCAAGGACAATAAAACGTTATACAAGTATTGGACATGGTGGATTTAACTACCATTACCTATGGGTAATTTTATCATTGCTAGAAGTATATTAATGAATGGTAGAAACTGATATAAAGTATAAACTTATAACATGAAGCTACATAAATGGATAAGAACCATTCGTTCAACCAAATGTGCTAATGTTTCTTGATGGTAATAAAGAAACATTTGCTAATTGCATATAAATACTTCATAAAATCCTAAAAAAAGCAGAAACCCAATGTTGCAGGTGCAGGGTGTAAACATATTCAGGGACTCTGACACTTGGACGGGTAGTCAGTTCCTGGTCAAGGGCGACAATATATTAGTTGCACATAGCAACTCGTCATATAGCCCTTGCATCACAGCAGGTTTTATGACTAGCCATGATCATCATTGAAGGATATCTTCCAGCTGAAAGAAGCTCAACAATCACCATGGCTCACAGTTTTTACTCATGGGTGTCCACTGTTTCATCTGCAGTTCTTCTTGGCTGGTCATGGGTGGTTTTGGTCAGATTTGAAGCTGTGATACTCTGACTGTAGACAGCCTGGGAGTCCTGTAGAGATCTCCTCAAGGGTTCCTGCACTCACCATTCCTCCTCAATGATTCTCAGTTGTCCATACTTCTTTTGGACAAGATTGATCCTCGAGAACAAGATTTGATCTACTGATCTGGGCCAACCAGATATCAGCTGAGTCTGTAGCTGTAGGTTGATCGATATTAGGGACCTTTGCAGCATCGGCAAAAGTCTTGTGTGCGGAAGAGGATTTTTTCTGGACTCATCATCTCTCTAATAGAACCATCTCTGTATAGAGACACATTACTTCTCTTGATAGAGCACTTCTATTTTAAGAATATGCCGTTCTTTCAGCCAGCAGCCTTACTTTAAACTCGTTTAAACTCAAGAGAGATCAAGTAAGGGTCAATATGCTCATTGGCAAAAACAGAAAGCTCTGCAATAAATCCTGTAGTAACAGTACCAAAATTTGTCTTTTCTACATATTTCGTAATATTCTAAAGTGAAAATGATTTCTGCTCGAGTATTAAATAGGTCTGCTTTATAATGGGATGATCTATCAGGAAAATTGTGAAGTAAATCTGAGTTTAGTTAAGCGACTGAGTTTTAAACTAAGAAAATACGCAGACTGGACACACGATGTAAAGTGAAACCCAATATTTATTACATATTCAAATCAAAGAAACCTCAGTGTCCATACTTGCATAGATGCTGGACAATCGTCGTCCTCAGGATCAGTGAATAAGTCAGCAACTTTTGTTTTTCGAGACTTTTGCTGTCAGCCGACTCACTTTAGAGACTTAGCAGAACTGATATGAATAAAATACTTCATATACACTAGTATTATATACTAGTATATAATGTCAGATTTACCTATAATCATACACGTTTTCACGTTCTGGTCGTTCTCATACAACGTCGTAAGAGCAACGTCTAGATATCTTCTACTTAGCCAGTGAAAAGCATTGCTATCATTTACCTGTTTTGCACAATTTGTGAAGTTGTAGCAATATCTCCTTGGATAAAGTAGAAAGGAAAAGGGTAACTAGAACGAAAACAACTCAGAAGTTTTCTAAATCATGTGTTTATGTGTAAACCGAATAGAATCAAAGGATTTTTTTGAAAATTCCTATCTTAATAAAAGAAAGTAGAAAACATATAGTATGCTTGCATACTACATACATATGAAAGATTTTTTTACCAAAAAGTTTCTCCAAATTCATTGCCTACCATATTCAAAGTAATTGAATTAGAAGTATTATTTTAGTTTTGTCAGCTGTCTAGGTTTGTTAGTTGTGCTCAGAAGATGTAAAAGTTATATTTAATTTCAATGCATTTGAAATAAATATTATCAAATGGTTTCAAATGTTAAATATTTTATTAATGCTCTTAGATTTCCTGAGAATATCAGTTTATTTTATGTTGTTAGATGAATGCTACATTTTCTCTTTCGGATCCTCCCTTTTCCTCATTTTACGGAGGTAAATCAATATGTATTTCTGGTTAGTTAAGACTTTACAAAATATATAAATAGTACGAACATACCTTTGTTATGTTTGATTAGTATATAAATTTTAACCTGTTATTTAACTATATCGTGTAAGTTCATACGTTTTTTTATGTGTTCTAATAAGGTTTGTCTAGCCATGATGAAAATACATTCACGCAACATAAGATGCCACTGTAGAGAGAGAGAACTGTTCCATTCACTTTTGTCTACTGTTAATACATATTCATACTATACAGGACACAATAAACTCCACCACACATACACACACACATCAAAATATTGGTATAACATCAACGTAGATAGAAGAACGTTAAAAAAGTACTTTAACGCGGACGAATGGTCTAGGCATCAGCTTTAACACTAGATTCGGATATACCTTTTTGTTATCTTAACATTATCCTAAAGTGTTAGGCTTGAACTATGTTTGCCATTTCGAGAAATGGATAATTGTCAGAAAGAAGTTATAGATCTAATTCCTAGAAGGATAAGAAGTGGATAATTTGCAGAACACACTTTCTAAACATTCCCAGTCTTTCTTCTACCTTCTTTATGTACCTTTCACACTTCTGTCTCTTTCTTGTGAATCCTTTTAGACACAATATTAAAACGTCGAGTTCTGAAGCTTAGAAATGATATCCTTTAAATTAAGAAATGTTTCTGCTAAATAGAAGCTGTATACTTTTCTGGAACACATTTTAGTATATTTGCATGTACTTGTTTTTAACCTGGATAAAAATAACGTTTGGAAAAGTTAATTTTTGAACTTATGAAAAGAGAATCACACACACTAGAGTTACTTAATATGTTAATATTCGTACTTCGTCTGACAATTTTTTAATTGTATATTGGAAATATTTCTGACGTAAACTTTCACCATCTGCTAGTACTATTCACTTGTCAAATATAATAAGTAATCATATGAACATAATCATACTCACGTGCTCGTTATAAATTTCTAAATAGGAAGCATGGATAACGAAATCCTCTGATTTCCTCTGTTTGATTCCTTCGTACAGGTAGGAGAATGCAAGATTAATAACACCAGGTTCATGGCTAATTCCTGCACCTTCTCCCTGGAATATTTAAATACTTGGACTCGTAGAGACGAAAATTACTGCATTAACGCCATTATAAAATAACATAACCTAGTTTCTAAGCAACCAGCAATATAAGCAATAACCTAAGCAATATAACATATTGTGTATATATATATATGTGTATTTTTATGTAAGTGGTCAACTACTACTCAGGAGGTCAGGTAGTGAATATAGCAAAACAGTAATTAGAATGCTTCTGGAAAATAGTAGAGAGTTTGCTTGAAAAGAAAAAGAAATGAGAAGCTATAGAATGTTTATATTCCTTCTAAACTCGTGAGATAACAATGACTTGATGTGACTCAAATGATCTAAATATGAATTTAACTTCATAACGTACAAGAGTTACAATTACTTAAGTAAAGTTGAACAAACTATATTAAACAACTTTACGAATAAAGTCGAGAATCCTGGCTTGTAGATTAAACTGAATGGATAATTTTAAGTTAGGTTCGAATGTCGTACAGCCAATCTCTCCAGCAGAAACCATACCGACGTACAAATCATTAATCATAATATATATATAACTGGTTATTTCATCACTGTGTGAATAATTATTTTCAGGTTTTAATGTAAACTTAGCATGCCATTGAAACTTAAAAATGACATGAAATTTTGCGGTTTAATATTATTGTCTATATTTTTTACAATAATTAAACCATATTTTTATTTGAAATATTTCCTTAATACAAATCTATCATACCTGTGGTCCTGTCAAAGTGTACGTTTTTCCTGCTCCAGTTTGTCCATAAGCCAAAACTGTACAAGCAAATCTGAAAATGACATCAGGGCAATTACTACAGACAATAAATGGTACTTTAAATAAAAAATGTAGAAACAATTAAACGTAAAACATAGAAAGTCTGTATGAAGTGTACACGTATTAATAACCAAACATACCGTCTCGCACAAAAACAACAGAAGTAAAATTTATACTTATAGTAAATTTTCCTTATTGAATAAGCATACAGAATGATAAGTTCATCTAAATTTGTTAGTCTAAAACCCATTATTAAAATATAAATGGTTATGTAACTGTAAAATTAGACAAAAACCTAAATACTTTTGCTTTATCATGTGCTTGTTAATAGCCGATTAAAAATTCTAAGTGAAAATATTTAATATTTAAGCTGTAATGATAAACTAGATAAACGTAAATGACGGTATATCGTAATACAACAAAGCATTTAAATAAAATTTCCTCGCTCAGATTTATTTTACTCCTTTGAAACAAGGAGCGCATGAAGAAACACATTTGTTTAACCTTACCCATCAAGAGCCATATCAACCAGCCTCTTAAGTCCTGAGAATTCAAAGACATCTTCTTGACTAGCTTCTGGCTCAAATACAACATTAAAGGTGTAAACACGAGAATGCCCATTGATCTGGTCATCAACCTATTACGAGAGAGTCATAAATGAGTCATTTTATGAGAAAATTTTGCAGAATGATTATGTTTATGTATAAACTACTAAAATTTAGTTGGCTGATAGAATAAACTAAATCTATGCAAACCCAATAAATATAATAGTAAAAATTTTCTTGTCAACGTTACCTACAATTTCTATTTATATGTTAATAAACTTTACCATAGAAAAACTGCTTTTTTAACAATAGCCAATAACTGCTTCTTATAAACCAGAACAAATATTTAATGCTTGTCATCCTATAATACAATATAATATAATAATATAAAACAATCATTGCTTGTTCCAATACAGCAACAATAACTTCCATCTCCAGTAACCAACACCTTTTTATATAATTCTAACATTTAGAATTCAACCATGTTTCTTATTTTCCAAAAGAGACAACTTATCTCTATGAAATATATCTATTTATCCAATCTATCATATAGTAAATAAAACGTTTCCGGAAGATAAGCATCCACTCTAAGTATTCTACACAAATAAAAACTTCCACCGAAAATTAGTCTTAGCTATCTATACAGGTAAGCTTTTACACAGTATAAAGTCATCCGGTGTTTTCATGTTGTCCCGCGGGGGTGAGCTGTAAGACAACGTAATCAGCCCATTTTGTAACTTTGTATTAAGAAAACATCAACAACATCCTTTCATGTAGTCTCTTATACACGAAAATGCACGAGACATACAGAAAGATTTTAAATACTAATTATATTTATGTTATTTATCCCAAAATATGTATAAAAGATTTACGAAATGTTTTATTCTCCTGTTTATTGGTTAAAATATCTTTATACTAACATTTATGCGGTACGTGATTAATCTGAGGCTTAATTTAAGTTCCACAGTATCCCTCGGTGGGACAGTTGTAAGTCTACCGACTTGTAACGCTAAAATCCAGCGTTCGATTTCCTACGGTGGATATAGCAGATAGCCCAGTGTGACTAGACTCTAAAATAAACAAGTTCCATAGGATATGCTGCTTGTCTCTTTTTTATATTGACATCAATTTTAAATACTCTTGAACGTATGCACCATTAATATAAAAATATAAGTGTATGTCTATACTAATTAAGTTTACAAGCATTGTTTTGATGAACTAATTAATGCTATTTAAAGCATATAAAACAATATTAAAGTGTATAAGACGATCAGTCCTAGAACATTATAAGACTAATATTCAACATGAGTACGGTCATCTATCGACTAGACCAAACATAGTGTATAAGATAAAGGCAAGTTTAGGGTTACCATGATCTGTCCTTCTCCTGGAAATTGTACAGCCTGGATGTCTTTCTTTCCAACTTCATGACTAGCTAAGGGACGAACTCTAAAGCATTTAGAAATTAATAATAATTATCATCAACTTATTATTATTATCATCATATTAAGATTTAAAAAAATGCTGTAAGTTTTCAAGAGTAATTTAAAAATAAGCCTTTGTTTCTATACTGTATAAATATCTGTAAAATATGAGAAACAATGACCAGTTATTTAACAGCAAGATTTCTGGAATATAATGTGCAAAAAAAAACACTTTATTGAAACCTAGGAAACAATCTGAATGGTAAATCTTGTAAGATACTGGAAATAATAAACCATTTACCACTAAACTCTACTGGGAATAATAAACCATTTACCACTAAACTCTACTGGGAATAATAAACCATTTACTACTAAACTCTACTGGAAATAATAAACCATTTACCACTAAACTCTACTGGAAATAATAAACCATTTACTACTAAACTCTACTGGAAATAATAAACCATTTACCACTAGACTCTACTGGAAATAATAAACCATTTACTACTAAACTCTACTGGAAATAATAAACCATTTACTACTAAACTCTACTGGAAATAATAAACCATTTACCACTAAACTCTACTGGAAATAATAAACCATTTACTACTAAACTCTACTGGAAATAATAAACCATTTACTACTAAACTCTACTGGAAATAATAAACCATTTACCACTAGACTCTACTGGAAAGAGGAATCAGCAAATTCTGTAAAATATTGAAAATAAGAAACAAGTAACTGTGTAAGGTATTATGACTAAGAAACATCAAATTTTGCAAGATATTAGAAACAGTAAACAGCCTTTTAACAGCAAACGCTGCTTCAGGTACCTCAATTTGTACAGCAGTTATCCAAGAAAAATAACCCACGGAAACTAGAACTCTAGATGAACTCATATAGTCAAACTAATTTGAAAAGTTTTGCTTATGCGAGCTCATTCGGCTTTTATAAAATCATAATAAACATCTAATTTTGTTAAAAATGACAATCGACATAAATCAACAGATCTTAAAATTGCTCATATAAACGTGAGAGACCGCTTGGAAGCAAAAAGTGCATTTTTATTCAGATTACAGTTTTGTCGCACAATCGAAAACATAATAGTGTTATCAATATATCATTCTCCTTTTGTTAATTATTCTCACCGTTCGAGTTGTAGTGACTAATGCAGTCATTTGCGTGTGCCAATATTTTGTATGTCTATGCAGTATTAATTTCTTCCTGTATGTGCATTCACGCATGTCAGGTTGAAGCTAAAACAATATCGATATCCGCCACTCTTTAAGCCATATAGACGTTGAACTGCTCAGGTTCGTGTCACGTTTCAAATATTCCAGGTACAAGGCATGCATAATACACGCAGAGAGGCGTACTCTCAACTGTATATGCATTTTCTAAATTAACTGTAATTTTTGTTTTTACTTCTGTATGAAAAGGTCAGTGTTCCCTTAAGCCTTAAAAATGACTTTTACTACTGAGTAGAGCAGGGTAATTTCATATTATATTTATAAATTATGATTTTTACGAAATGCATAACTGAGTTCTTTAAACTTTAGTTAAGGTATTTTTAAAGATTTTTGCTAAAGATAACTTTTGTCAATATTGTATGTTCCAAACGTCTATTTTAACGGCTTAAACATATAAACTGAGTTAACACGCATTCTAGGAAAACTGGTATGTTTATATCTAGTAGAATGTTTTGGCAAAAAATCTATCAAGTCCTAAAAACTCCTCATTAATTTGGAAAATGAGAGTAATAAAGGAAACTTAAAAAAAAAGTTGTTGTGTTTAGTACTTAAGGCATGTGAAAATAATGTGTTATAAATACAGGCTTTCTAATTTATATATAAAAATTCATACTATAAACAATGTACATTTTATTATTTAAAATACATTATAATTTCTACTGAACTAGCGATTGAAATTAGTACTCCAGACCATGGATTGAAGGTAATGTGTCCATGGTCAAACAAAGTAGCCATTTTGGCTCGTCAGCATTTATCATAATTCAGATAAAAGTAATTAATGATAAGATAACACTCATTTAAATGAAAATTTCATTCTGTTTATTTTGCGTGATATTTTGGGCACGTGCCCTTCGTAAGCAGTATATATATATATATATATATATATATATATATATATA